GTGGCTGTGTGTGGGTGTGGCTGTTTGCATGAGTGTGGCTGTGTGGTTGGGTGTGGCAGCATGGGTGTGGTGTGCATGTGTGTGGCTGTATTTGTGTGCATGTGTGTGGCTGTGCACGTGGGTGTGGCTATGGCTGTGTGGCTGTGGTTGTGTGGGCGTGGCTGTGCATGGTTGTGTGTGGCTGTGGCTGTGTGGGCGTGACTGTGTGTGGGCATGGCTGTGTGCGGGCATGGCTGTGTGCATGGGCGTGGCTGTGTGGGCGTGGCTGTGGACACTCACGTTGTTGAGGTGCTTCCACTCTTCTGCCCACTCACGCTCTGTGAGCTTGTGGTCGATCACTTCTTCCTGCCGGGACCCAGGCACCACTGTGGATGGGGGAGGTGCATGCTTAGGTCCTGCCCACTGCCAGGATCTGCCCTATTCTCCCAGACCCTGCCCTCTGCTCCCAGGCCCCACCCATGGACTGTGCCCACTGGGGACTATGGACAGGGTAACGGAAGGGCTGGTTGACTTGGCGAACATGGAGGATGCCTGGGTTACTGAGCTGCCTGGGCCTCTGGGCCGACTGCTCTTCCCCTGTAACCGGCACACGCCTCCAAGGGAGGGTCCAGTCTCAGTCCGGTTCTGCACCTGAGGAAACTAAGCCTGGTTAACAGCGGTGGAGGTGGGGTGTGGACCGAGGCTGGGTGGAGCTGGAGCGCTGTCTTCAGCCACTGTCTGGGAAGGCCTCGTTAGACTAAGTGTGGCCTGAGTATGCCTCAGTGCCAAGTCACACCATGACCTGGACCTGCCTTAGCCCGTGAACCAACGGGTAACCTCGCTGGGAGGAGCTGGTCTGAGTCATTCACAGCAGCCCTCTGTGGTCACCCGCAGGCGCCCACAACTCAGATGAGGCCACGCCGAGCAACATGCAACCACGCCGCCTCGGCACCCACCTCCCGTCTCTGCCTGTGAACACCACCAGCCGTGCCCAGGCCAGGGCTCTCGGAGCGCGCTGGCTCTGAGGCCTGTCCTATTCGGGGGTTGTTCTTCGCTTAGTTAAACTCTGTTCGATGCAGCATGTCTAAGGTTTTCCCTTTTGACAGGCTCCAGGACTGAAGCTGCAGGGGCCACTCCCACAGGTCACCAGAAACTAAGATGTGAGTGACGCCTGGCAGTGGCTGACCCTTTCGTGGTGGCCGGGCCCACGGGAGACGCGAGTGACCCCTGGCAGTGGATGGCTCTTTCGTGGTGGCCGGGCCCACAGGAGACGTGAGTGACGCCTGGCAGTGGATGGCTCGTGGTGGCCGGGCCCACGGGAGATGTGAGTGACGCCTGGCAGTGGTTGGCTCTTTCGTGGTGGCCGGGCCCACGGGAGACGTGAGTGATGCTGGCCGTGGCCAACTCTTTCGTGGTGGCTGTGCCCACGGCTTCTGGAGACATCAGACGCTTCCAGACCCCACTGTTTTCTGCATTCAGCCATGGCCCATGCTTCCTGGGGCTGAGGTCTCCCTCTTTGGACCCTTTTCAGCCCCTAAAGATATCCCAGCCCCTGAACCTGAAATGGCTCCCCCAAATTGCAGAGGAGGTGAGGAGGTGGCAGCCACAGCTCAAAGTCACCACCCTGCTCTGCCGCCTGTGAAGCTGCAGCCGGCACCAACACCCCAACCAAAATAGTGGCTGAGACGTGCCAGACAGCTGGCGTTTATTTTTGTATTAGCAGAAGTGGGTGGGAGTCAGCACCTGCCCGGTCCGGCTGCAGCATGCTAGACGCCGTCACCTGCTGCCTGGGCCCAGGCCCTGGAACCTTCCGCAAGGTGGGGGCTGGGAGATGGCCTTGCGCAGGGCAAGGCCTCTGCTGACCCGGCTGCTGGGCCCCCACCGTGCCCTGGGCCTCTGTCTCAGCATGGCAGATTGGAGGCCTCCCTGCAGCCTGTCCTGGGGGGCTCCTGGGGTGGGGCTGGGCCTAACCATCACTGGGTCCTCAGCACAGAGGCCGTCCAAAAGTCAGGCAGGCTGGGCTATGAGACTGTGGGTGCATTACGTGTGCTCTCGGGCTCCAGTCTCCTCATCTGTGGTATGGGGGTGCTGACGCTACCCTGCTGACGGGCTGAGGAACGAGTGAAGGGTAAAATGCACCGAGACTCC